TATGCCAACAACCATCGGCAGCAAAAATCCGGCAACCCACCGTTAACAAACTTCGATCTAAAAAATTTTAAAAATTTTTTTATAAAAATTTTGCAGGAAAATTGGAGAGCTATGCCAGGCTTAGCAGCGCCCCCCCCCCCCCCAGGGGTCAGTGGCGGCTTTTGAGAGTTCTTAAGAACTCTTCCCAGCGAGAAATGACTCGTCGATCCGAGGAGGAAGAGGAAATCATCCTACATAGCGGGTGTCTTCGCGACTCTGAAGGAGAGGAGGGGATGGTCATCTCCTCTTGGCCGCGAGTGAAATTGTGTTTGGCCTGCTACCTAGAACAGCTGCCGCCAGTCGGGGACGACGAGGACATCCCCGAAATCAACGGATATGAGGTGAAATGGGGGTACCACGCCCTCAGCTCGCCGCGGTATGAGCTCCCCTCGTCGATTAAATTCTGTTGCGGCAAATGCGAAGAAGTAATCCTAGGCTTAAGATCAGCCCGGCAGTGCCGCGACTATATTAAAGAATTCCTTTAGCAAAAAGACAGATACCGGATGGCACGGGCGGCACACGTGTACTTGGAAATCGAAGTACAGAAGAAGTAAAAATTTAAAATTTAAAAATAAATTTAAAAAATTAATAAGTAAACTCTCTTAGTTTTATGAAATATTAAGCTGACAATTTTACTAACAAAATTATTAAACACATTATTATACGCATTATTATACAAATTATTTTACGCTTTATTATATGCATTATTATACGCATTTATTATACATATATTTACGTTTTTATATATATGTATACACTTATGACATTAATTAAAAATTTTTAAACATGATTTATTTATATATTTTGCATGGAGACCATTATCCAAAATGAATAACGTATAATTTTCGACACAATTTTTTTTTTTTTAATAATTCATACGCGGTAACAAACGTACCACGTATGACTTAAGGGGGAAGGTGTTACGTGGAGCAAAAATTAACTCAATCTTAAAATAGTCAGGAATGTTAAGAGAGAGAGATATCGATATTGATTAATTATCCGATTTCCGATGGAGAGACAATTTCATAAATATTAGCTATTCAACTTCAATAATTTCTCGAGTGTCGTGTGGTATATATTATATATGTATATTGTATTCATATATGTATTATTTTTCGGAAACAAGTTGTATTGTATAAAAAAATCAATTCTTCAAAAATATTTCCGAAAAATAGGTCTTTTTATAGAATACAAACAAGAAAATTTTTTAAAAATATGATTAAGAGAAATAGTATGCAATATTGACAGATAAAGTGTTTGCTGGAGCAACTGCAGGATACTTGGGACGAGTTAACTGACGAAAATGAAATCAATATCATAAAACAGTATGCTATCTATGCAAAACGTTATACAATTGCGTTTACATGTAAGACAACTGCTTTAGATTTACTTTGAACGCGAATTATTATATTTGAAATATTGTATTTGGAAAACTAAACGCGTGGCGAGTTTATAATAAACTTCTTATCGAAATAATTGAGCCTTAAACATTTTTCAGTGGTTGTTATAAAAGGATAAAGAATTTTACTTTACATACCACAAGGGGTCTTAAAGGGCGTTTTGAAAGGACGCACCCAACCCTAACCTCCAATTCATCCGCTACCTTACTGTTTCCTCCTTTAGACCAACGGTTTAACGTCTCTTCCGAAAGACGGAGCCCAGTTTTCTCCGCATCTTGCACGGAGGGGCGCGGTTTTTTCGGAAAAAAACTTTTCCATGATTCATGGCTCTAGTGGACTCGAACCTGGTTCCTCAGATTACGAGTCTGGCGCTCTACCACTAGACCACACCGCCGCCCCAGTGGTTGTTATATTTCTCGCAATTATTTTAATTTTATACCCAATATTGAAGAACTTTCATTACGATTAATATTTATCATTTATTACTTGACTTACATGTTTGTGGCCAACTATATTGGGCAAAAAATTATGGATCATAATGATAACGTTTTTGTCACCGTGTAAGGGATTATTTTATGAGATAAAATTATATTATATATCCGTATAACAAATATGTACATATTCGTTGTATGGATCACTGTAATAAAAAATACATTTAATATACTCGTAGTTAGGTTCTCAGGCCGCAGCTCGCAGGGCATAGAATTACACTTATTGATAAGACCTTCCTCCTCCTTTAAGTTCTTGCCACTTGAGTATAAATAAACGCGAAAAATCATCGTAGAGTTGGTTGTTTGTTGTCAGTCAGTTAATCATTTTCTTGGGCTCATAACTTAATCAACCGACAGTTTTTATTCGAGCTAATATATTAAAAATCTGACTTCAGCAAATCTTTAAGACAGATCTTAACAATAATTAAAATCATATCAATTAAACCAGATCTTAAATAATTGTTGTAAGAAAATTCTCCCCGAATAAAGGTAATTTTAATTTTAATTCTTAAAACTAATTTTACTATAAAATCCTTTAATTCCACAACTCTTAACTGTCGCTGCCAAACAGCGTGGCAACAGAAATTTCCTGATATTCTTGTCGCTACTAGGAAATTTGTCAAGAGTGAGGCCAAGCTCGCTGAGAGTACGGCCACTCCTCTCAGGGAGGTGGAGATAACAGGTTTGATTCTAATTACTTGTACTAATATTGCAGCTAATAATTGCAGTATTATTGACCCAAAACTCCCAAGCTTCCCAAGCTTGACGACCAATTTCAAATTTAATGTCTCCTCCGAAATATAGCCCAGTTTCTCCGCACAAGCCCCACTCGTGCGGAGGGTGCAGTTTGGAATATAAAAATTCCTGTGATCACTGATCAGATGGACTCGAACCCGGTTCCTTGGGGTTACGAGTCTGGTGCTTTACCATAAGACCACACTGCCATCCTCTGGGATGCGTGGTCGGAAGATAAGTCCGGCGGCAAGCAACCAACCTCTAGGAACCTTTAGCCACCCCCAAGTGTATTGTAAGTCTCCTCACCCGGTGTACCGAGGCGCTCTACCCGGGTGGAACTGTAATTCCCCTTACTCGTGGGAATAACAATGGAATTGGACAAAAAGAAAAGTCCGAAGGCGCGAGCAGCTTGCATTGGATAAACTACAATCTGACTCATTCACCATTCGCATTAAATTTAGTGTGGTAATCTAGGAAAAACAGAAACTAAGTTCAAAGATGAATCCATTTCCACACTTTTACCGTAAAAATGATTCGCGACTTAATTGGAAGGTTGCAGTAAGTCTATAACAGGAATTTCTATTCCAAGCTCAGTCCCAAAGCCCTCAGAACAAAGAATGGTGAAATTAGATTTGACTGTGGATGGAGAATATTCTGGCTTGTATACATTAAAAGTTTGAATAGTTTCATTTCAGACGCAAAAAGACTGATGAATATAGCTGGTTTTGACCTTCGAGGGTGGGAATATAGTAATGATAATTCCCATGACAACCAGGCGACAGTATTAGGCGTTAATTGGGGTAAAAAAGCTGACACGTTAGCAGTAAAAATACCAGTTTTTCCAGAGTTACGTGATTCGAAAATAACGAAAAGGAATATTCTTTCGTTGGCACACCGTATTTTTGATTTATTGGGTTTTGTATGTCCTGTTATGCTTTGCCCACGAATTCTGTTACAGGAAACCTGGAGTGAAAATTTGACGTGGGATGATGAAGTTCCAGACGAATTAAAAAATAAATTTTTGAAGTGGATGGAAGATTTGAAAGAGCTTAATGAGATTAGAATTCCACGATGTTTTTTAGGACAAATCTCTGAGTCGGATAACGTAAGTTTGCATGTATTCTGCGATGCCAGTAAAGTCGCGTATGCCACAGTTATTTTCATTTGCGTTGAAAATAGTGATGGTGTGAAAGTTCACTTTGTACAAGCGAAAACGCGAGTTGCGCCTGCTAGGAAAGGCAATACGGATGCGCGAACAAGCATACCGCGTTTAGAATTGTTAGCTGCGACAATAGGCGCTAGATTAGCGAGAAATGTATTAGACGCGCTTAATTTTAAAACGCTAAAACTCTTTTATTGTACCGATTCCTCGACCGTGTTAGCATGGATCCAAAGAGAATGTAATTGGGCTACGTTTGTGTACAACAGAGTAAAAGAAATACGTATGCTATCGGATCCCGCGTGTTGGCATCATGTTCAGGGCAGTTTGAATCCCGCAGACTTACCATCGAGAGGCTGTACGGTGAAACAGATTATGTCTGCGAAATGGTGGGAGAGACCTGTGGCTATATGAGGCGTCAGATAATTGGCCAATGTGTAGAGAATTGTCGTGCGATGAAGATGAAATCAGTAAAGAATTAAAGAAAACCGCGATAAACAAAAAATCTGGTTGTACTCTCATAGCGTTAGAAGGAAATGGTGCGAAAGAGAACAAATTTTTCAATAGATTTTCTAACTTTGAGAAAATAATAAGAGTGTTTGCTTATGTACGACGATTTTATTGTAATTACCGAGAAAACAAAGAGAGTCGTGTGTTAAAGGTGCTCTATTGTATAAAGAAGTTCAAACGTCACGTACTCTGTTATTAAAATTGATTCAAGCCGAATGTTTTACTGACGAAACGGATATACGTGTGAAACATATTAACGCGTTCAGAGATAAAGACGATTTAATTCGATTAAATTTGAAAATTGTTCTGCGCAACGACGTTTATAGTTTTAAGTGTCCTATTGTACTTCCCGGTAAACATCGAATTGTTAATTTGATTATCAAAGAAAAGCACGAAAGCTTAAACCACGCCGGAATAAAGATTTTGATGAATGCATTGCGTGAAGAGTATTGGATCATAGGCGGTCGTAAAATAATTCGATCGGTGATTACGAAGTGTGTTAGGTGTGTAAATTGTCGCAGACATGATGCGAAGCCTCTCCAGACAATTAGTGCCCCATTGCCCATAGATCGGGTAAAAAACGCGGCCGTATTCGAAGTAATAGGTGTAAATTTCACCGGGCCCATTTATCTTAAAGGCGGTCATAAATCATGGATCTGTTTGTTTACGTGTGCGGTTTTCCATGCAGTATGTACATTTTGAGCTTGTGACATCGTTGTCCACTGCAGCGTTTCTTATGGCTATTCGACGTTTTATTGCGCGCCGTAAAAGGCCGAGTGTGATATATAGTGATAATGGCACGAATTTTGTCGGATTAAATAATATGTTTAAGCAACTGGATTTTGACAAATTGTCTCGAACGTTAGCCACCGAACGAATTCAATGGACATTCAATCCTCTTACTGCAGCGTGGTGGGGCGGATTTTGGGAGCGATTGAATGGAGTTTTGAAGCGATTACTGCGACGAACGCTTAAAAGATCTTGCCTTGATTACGAAGAAATGTTAACGGTTTTGTTAGATTGCGAGGCTGTGATTAATTCCAGACCAATTACTTTCCTTTCCGAAACCAAACAGAATATTTTGCCTATAACTCCGTCTATGTTTTTGCAAGAGATAAAAGAAATCGGAGTATTAGATTTAGACAAGATAGAGAAATGCGATTTATCCAAGAGATACTTATTGTATCGTCAGAAAATCAAGGAGGATTTACGCCAAAGATTTCGAACCGAATATTTAGGTGCATTGATTCACCGAAAGTCTAATACGAAAAATGTACATGATATCAAAGTTGGCGACATAGTTTAAATCGAAAATGAAAATGTAAAACGTTTGGATTGGCCTCTAGCGCGTGTCAAGGAATTAATCACAGGTAAAGATAATAATGTTAAAGTCTCTCGATTGACTACTGCTAAAGGTGAGTTAATTCGGCCGATTCAAAGACTTTATCCATTGGAGCTTAGATATGAGAAGAGTGAGTCCAAGGTGGACGAAATTATTGCGGATAAATGTAAAGATACCAGGAGATTCAAGGAATCTGAGAGTTGTGCTCCGGATATTAGTGGAGCATATGATATGCGCAGTCGCGATGATAAATCGTACGTAACGAGAAGTGGCAGGAAAATTAAACTTCCAGAACGGCTGTCTTATACTTAAGTTTTTTTGTTATTCTCATAATTTGAATATGACTGTTTTGTATTGCTTTGCGATTTTCATTTATGTATTCTTTTCCTGTATTGTGACATTTTTTTATATTATACCGTGTCATGTATGCATTGAGATGACAGGTGCGTGGCCATCTCAATGGTGGGAGGATGTTGGATTACGGTTAAGCGTTGAGCGAGCGTCCTTTGTTCGACGCGACGTTTTTTTGGTCTTATGTTTTTCCAGGCGGCGTGATCGCCGGTTGCGACAGGATCAGGATTCGCGGCAGTAGCACAACGCGCGCCGTCAAAGTAAGAGCTAAGAAATAAATGTGGCATTTCCTTATATGTATTTCACGAATTAATTATACCCGTGCCTATTAATGTAACAATCGTCATCTCGCAGAATTCTTGCTCTGCCCCTCTATCGTTAGGTCGAGCTGGCCGGTTCCTCACACGACCGACTAAATCGACTATCGCAGTTTTGCTTTCGATCTATATTTTGCAAATTTTGGAAATTAGTAGGCGCGAGTATCACGAGTCTGGCGCCCAATCATTCGTTTAGCGGCTGTCGAATGTCGAATAATGCGAGGGATCAGCTCGAGAGACCCGTTATCCTTAAAAATATCCCCGTTCTCCCTTTTGATCTGTCTTGCGTTTCGCGCGCAAAAGAAAAAAAAGACGTGACACTCCAAAGAACTTCACCCATTTTGGGCTGAATGTAGGACTGATCTTTAATTTGAAACCAAAAAGTATTTTTTTTAATTTAGTGTCTACATTCCTTCTACCACTGGCGTATGCCTTTGTTAAGCTGGGTATACACTTAGCGAACGAACACCGAACGAACAGCGAACGCAAACGTTCGTTGTCATTATTCAACAGATATAATCAAAAATATCAAATTGCTACACGCAGAAAACACCGAATCTGGTCGAATTCTGATGCAACCGAAAAAAAGAACAAACAACCTAGGAACACAAATGCGAATGCCCAAACGTTCGCGTTCGCTGTTCGTTCGTTAAGTGTATATCCAGCTTCACAGAAGACAGGATCCAACTGGGAAAATGCTTGTTATGTGTATTATTTTAATTATTTTAAGGCTGTACCAGCCGTTTGTCGATCTTTCACGCAAGATTGAATAATCTCACGATACACTTGACAGAAAATTACTTATAACATCAAGAAATTGTTTCAGTATTCTGTGACTATACATAATGTTTTATAATATTCATATTTATATAGACAAAAATAAGATACTAATGTTCCGTGTAGATTTCAATGAGTCATCACGTGGAATTTTATGATCAAGCAGAACGTTTTAACCCTAGTTAGCCACACTTATTTTCGAGTTCTTAATTCGCCACACTCCGGTCCGTGAGACCGCCCGACTTTATCGCATTGTCATTTTCATTATAATTAATATTTTGAAGCCTTTAATGTAAGAATTGGAAATACAGAGTCTAAATAAGATGTTTATGATAATATCTGATCTAGAAAATAATTTAAGTTTAAACTAAACCTGTTAAAAAAAAATGTGAAAATTAGAAAACCGAAAAAACGTGTAACAGTCTACAAGATCGAAATGTAGCGAGTTAGGGTTAAATGTATTTCATTTCACCCTTGTTGTACGTTCTTTTGATGAAGGTCTCGCAATTCGTGTACGTATTAACATGTGTCAATATAATGACATGTAATGAATTCTGTGCTTAAATGCGCAATAATGTAGCCAATGGAATTCGCTATTAATTTCCTTCATTTTTACACCTTATTATGTGTAAAAATAAATAATAATTTTTTCACAATATCTTGCTATTAATGCAATTATGCTTCTTACCGTACATTGATCTTCCGTTTCGTCCGCAATTGGGAATTTGCTTCGTTCTCTTTATAAGACCTTACATTTTCTTCTCTATTTTCCCTAACAACAAGAGGTAAGTATTCTCCAACTGTCTTCATTTACACATTCGTCGTGCAATCTTCATCATCTGTGCGGGTAATAAGGAACATATAGAAACAGATGACAATGGATGGATTTAAATCTGAAACAAAAAGAAATGTAGATATATGTTAACGAGAATACAAAACCTGTTATTAACTTAACTACAATATTTTAAGTTTCAATTAATATATGCAATATTCAATTAATAAATATAGAAACTTTTGTACTTGACATGCTATAAATTATATAAAAAACTATGTCCAGATTTGAGCCATATGGCGTCCACTTATAATAATATGCACATCAGAGTGTGTTAGGTTTTAATAAGCGTGTTCCCAAAAAAATAATTTTAGCTTCCCAGCTTGCATGCGCCAGGAGTTATATACAGCACCCAACAGTGCGAGCTCCATTTTTATTAGTGCAATAATATGTTTGAATTGAATCCATTCTTTCGCCTTTTTTAAAATTAATATCTATTCATTACTCGTATAATATTCATATTAAGCATATTAATTTCCATTAGTAAGTCTCTATTTTATTATTATGTCCTGTGAACTCTATAATTTCTTTTTTCGCGGAAACCTAACAGAATTATCTTTCAGATGAGAAACAAAGATAAACCGTGGACCAACGATTATCCATCGTACTATGATACCAGCATGTCTGGTTTTTCGGATGTTTATTTCATATAAATGTGAAAAATCATGAAAAGTCATGAGAAACTTTCCAGATAGCAAAATTCAAACAGACAAATTAAACAGGACAAAGTTCATCTATTTGTCAGATCCGCGACACAATAAGTTCGCGGCACTGCCGTACGCCAAAGAAAATCCTTGATAATAAATCGGTCCAGATGGGCAACAGAAATATTATCTGGATAATATTGTCCCATTAATAAAACGGAGTCCATGACGCGTGAGTAAGGTCGAAATTTCTGTAATATTTGCTAATAAACACAGAGGAACGGAAATTTCAATTTGTTCCGAATCGTGTAGACACCTCTGTTATCTTGGAAACGTGGGATTCAGACTCGAGCTGAAAATCCACGTTTATTAACAGTTAATAAAAATAAACGCAATAAGTCACTGGAAGGAATGATAGCTAGCTCTTTCAATTAAAAACAGGATGGTAAAGACTCAACATCAAACTCGCTATGGGTAACCGTAAAATCTGCGTCAAAAACGACGACGATTTTATGTTTAACTTGCCTTAATAGATAAGCGGAAAATCAAAATCATACGATAGGTGATGATATTTCCACGTCGAGATCACTAATAAATAATCACAAAACTATAATCTACAATCATATGTGTAGAAAAAATCC